CAGACAATGCATCGTCGACCCCCAGGGAAGTATGGGAAAATATGAGAAGCGGGGGGGAAGACAACAGCCCTGACAATATGGGAAAACATGGGGGATCCTGTTATTTGTGTGTATTTATTGGTGCCCGGCCGCCTGAGGCCCCGCCCGCCTGTGCTCTGTCTCCCCAATTAGAGCTTTGCGTGGCACGCCTAGCTTTTAACCGGAAGAGGCTCGCTCTGGACCCGCAGACCAAACAAAGTGTATTTATTGGTGTGTCCTTGGGCCCCTTCACATTCCACTCGTGGCTCACCTGGCACCCTCTTGGGTTCTTCTTGGGAGGTCTTGGGGGCCTCTCTGGTGCATCTTCAAGGTTGCATCGGGGCCCTGTCGGGGTTGGGGCCGTCTTAGCGCCTGGGCGCCTCGGGCCGTCTTTGGGCCTCGTTGGGCTGCCCTGGGGCCGTCTTGGGTCGTCTGGCCCCTCCTGGCTGTCTGGAGGGTCTTCGGGACCCTCTGTGCGATGTAGTGTATTGTAGATCCCCCGCGGGGGATCCAGGCCACTTGCGAGTAGTTTTTTTTTGCGAGTAGTGAAACGCGCTCGTCTAGTCCCGGACCCTCCTTGGGCCGTCCTGGAGCCGCCCTGGGGGGCATCTTCGGCCATCTTTGGGGCAGGGGTGGACCCAAACGGTGTTCTGGCGATTTCGTGGGCCGCTTTCGTTTCGATCTCGTTCTGCGTGAAAGGCGGATTGAAAACAAAACGAGGGAAAGCGAAAACAAAACGAAAACGAAGAACACCGTTTAGGTTCAGCCCTGTCTTGGGGCCCTCTTGGGCTCTCTTGCCTCGTCGGCCGTTTTTGGGGTCACATCGGGGGCATCTTGGGCCGTCTCGGGCTAATTGCCAGAGGTCCGGATAGGCGAGAGCGCGACGAGCAGCAAAACAAGTGAGTTTGGCCTGTGGAGGCCCTCTTAAGCATCCTTGTGGAAGTCGATTCATGGAGAAGAAACGTGTTGCCAAATATGTCCCAGCTGCCTAACATATGTTTCAACCATGTTTTACATATGTTCAAAGCAGGTTTGAAACATTGTTCGAACATGTTTTACACATGTTAAACGCATGTTCAATTCAATGATAGGATTGTTAGAGTGTCTATTGTCATGGCATCCACAAAGGTATTATCTTGGGATTTCTTGGGCTCCTTTTTGGGCCTTCTTCATGACATCTTGGAGCAATATTGCGCCGTCTCGGGCTCTTGAAGCCTGTCTTGTCCGGAGCCCCTTTGGGACGACTTCGAGGCGAGGCCAGGGCTGGACCTGAGCGCTGTGTTGCTGGACTTCGGCTGTGTCTTGTTTTTTGCTTCGGCAGGGAGGTACAGGAAAACAGGCAGAGCAGAACGAACAATGAAACGACAACAAAACGAAAAACATCCTTTCGGTCCAGCCCTGTCGGAGGCCTCTTGGCCCGCCTGGCCGCGCGGTGGCGTCCCCAGTGGGAGTCCTGGGGCAGCGCGCAGCGGCGAGGAACTCGAGATTCCCCCCCCCAGGTGTAAGTCGGGCCTGTCCCTCTACAGGAGGAATGTTCAAAGATTGTGAAAGGATCGTCTCGGGACGACTTTCTCGTCTCTCTTGATTTTGCTTCGAGCAGCTTCGGGGTATGCCTTGTCTGCCGTCCAACATCCGCCTGCAGGAGGACAATGCCCAGCCTCACCCCGGGTCGCGTGCAGTGGCGCCGAGGGCCTCCCTGCTGGACTGCGGAACGGGAGATTTTGGACCGGAGGGGCAAGCGGCAACAAGAGCAGAGGACACCACAAACAAGAGGAGGCAGCAGTCACAGAAGACAGCAGACAGTGTCCTTCTGTCACAGGAGCCGCTTCTGTCACAGGAGCCTCTCCTGTGACAGAAGCGGCTCCTGTGACAGAAGGACACCACAAACAAGAGGAGGCAGCAGTCACAGAAGACAAACAACAGGACCTCGCAGCCCAGAGCCCCCCTCCCCCGGGGGGCCGGCGGATACTGGGACGAGTATTGCGGCAGCACGGACACAAGGATCATGTTCGTTCCTCGGCTCGACGGAGCTCGATCTCCTGAGAGGGAGCCGGACTTGGAGGAGGTACTGAAGCCGTCTGAGGCTGAGGCTTCCGAGACAGCGCAGCCTCTGGAAGAGCAGGCGAAGGCCAACGATGCCCAGGAGGATGGCAACACCTCGGCAGAGGAGCACATGCCGGCGGAGGAGCAGAAGCCGGCCGAGGAACAGAAACCATCAGAGACCTCCGCGGATAAGGAAACCATCCCAGGCCTCCCAGAGGTTGAAGACCCAAACGAGGAGGGGAAGCAGGACTCCGCAGGGGAGCAAAAGCCAGCCGCGGAGCAGATGCAGGCAGGGATCTCCGAGGAGGAGGAGGGCCTGCCAGGCCTCCCAGAGGTCGAGGACCTGGACGAGGAGGGCGTGCAGGACTCCGCAGAGGGGCACGGGCCCGCGGAGGCGCAGGAGTCTGCCGTGGAGCAGAAGCAGGCCGAAGTCTCCCAGGATCGGGGGGAAGAGCACGCAGACGCAACCCATCGTCGGTTCGTAGGACCAGATGTGGAAAGATCTGGGAAGTCGGGGGGAAGACGACCATCTAGAAACCAGGTACGGAACGATTCTTGACGCTCCGCGTATCCCCACCAGCGGCAGACTCCCTGGGTTGCAGCTGGCACGACCGCCTCAGGTGACTGGCCTTTCAGACTCCCTGGGACTGCACGACCGCCTGGCTCCTCAGACGCCCTGGGTAGCCGCTGCTTTGCCGCCTGATCCGCGGCCCCGCGCGCGCCCGGGAATTTAGTCGCGGCCGCAGCCCGACGGTGACTGCTCGCCGCCGGCGCTTCCGCCTGCGGCTGTTTAAAAACAAAGTATCCCCACCAGCGGGTTTTGCCTTGGCCGCTTGAATTCTGGTCATTTTGTCCAGCGCACGCGCCCGAGCTTGCAGCGCGCCACTCAGTTCAGCTTCGCCCAGCCTGCAGCCGCCGTCTGAGTGGGCCGGCCAGCTCGCCTGTCCTAGCCAATTTGCTCCGCTCGTGGCCCGGACGTAGCCTTTGCCGCCTGTTCCTTGTCTCGTGGCCGCGACCAAAAAAAGTATCCCCACCAGTCAGCCTCAGCCAGCTGCCCCACCGGTGGTAGGTCCTGATTCCGGGCTCGATCGCTGTGCTTTTAGGCTCGTGCGTCGCTAATTTCAACTCGGCGCCTGCGCTTCCGCTTGCGCCCGCGAGAAAAAAATCCCCACCAGTCCGTAGCGTGGCTCAAGTCCGCAGCCTTCTGGCTCAAGCTGCACTGGGTCAAGCCAGCTGGGCAGGAGTCGCGCGGGCCAGCTTCCCCGCCAGGCGGACGCGTGCCGCGCGGGCGCGTGCGTGTCGTGTGGGTGTGTGTCTCTGGGCACGCCCTTAGCGGTGGCGCGGGGTGCTAAATCCGGCGTTTCGCCGTGTGCCCCTTTGTGTGTGTGCGTGTGAGAGAGAGAGTGTGTGTGTAGGTGTAGGTGTAAGTGGAGTAGGTATAGGTGTATGTGTAGGTGCAGGTGCAGGTGCAGGTGCAGGTGCAGGTGCAGAGGCAGAGGCAGGTGCAGGTGCAGGTGCAGGTGCAGGTGTAGGTGTAGGTGTAGGTGTAGGTGTAGGTGTAGGTGTAGGTGTAGGTGTAGGTGTAGGTGTAGGTGTAGGTGTCGGTGTCGGTGTCGGTGTCGGTGTAGGTGCAGGTGCAGGTGTAGGTGTAGGTGTAGGTGTAGGTGTAGGTGTAGGTGTGTGTGTGAGAGAGAGAGAGTGTGTGTGTGTGTGTGTGTGTGTGTGTGCGTGTGTGTGCGTGCGTTGCTTCCGCATGCCATGGCTTCCTCCGCGTACTGGGACCCCTGGCGAGCTGCACCGTCTGCAAGCGGGACTTCGGAGCAGTGGCGCAGGGAGGGGCGTAGCCGGGCGGTCCTGGAATCTGGCGAGCGCTGCTGCTTCAGGCCGCGCGTCTGCGCGAGCGGGGGCGCGGGCGCCGCCTCCGCATCCTGTCGGGCAGCCCTCTGTCTGGCGCTCGTATGCGTATAGAACGGGCGATTGGCATTGGCCTAATGCTGCTAGCAGGAACCACTGTGACAACATGGTTTTCGGCAGCAGAGCTTCCTGCGCTCTGTGTGGCACTGCCAAGCCGCTAGCGATGGACAGTGCGCCCTCCAGCGACGAGCTGTGGAAGGTGGTCGTGGAGACGCAGCGGCTGGTGAAACATATCATCATTCGGCAGGCGGGAACTCAGCATGACGAGGCTGAGGCAGTTCGTTCCGCCTCTCGCAGTCCGCACTCTGATGCTCGGGCCCGTGGTGCAGGCTGCGAGGGCGCGCGCGCGCCGCAGCCGCCCGCGCCGCCTACCGTGGTGGACCTGGCTTCTGCCTACGGGGAGGTGCGGCGTGCGGGCGCCTCGTGTTCGTGTTCATGCTGCGGGGCGCCGATCGTTGGCCCGACCTGCTGGGTGCGCGGGCCGTGGACCCCAATAGCTGCATCTCGGGAGCCGCGGCCCGCTTCAGGTTGGAACCACCCTGGTGTGCACGGGCGTGCAGACGTGTGTTGCAACACCGACGCAGAGTTGAAGTCGGGAAACGCCGTGCCGGGCGAGCATGTTGACTGCCAAATCTTGGCTGGATCGGTGACCGCACTGGGCGCTGGAGCGGCCCCGGTTTTTCTTCTGGTATGGAGGCGGCGGCGCCTGCAGCCTTCGCAACATGTGAGACAGTTGATGCCATCATGTGTGGTCCGTGCGAAGACCTGCCTCCGCCCAGAGCCGCCCACCCAATCAGCGTGCCGCCTGACAGCTATGGTTGGGACTACAACTACGTCTTCCGTGCTTTCGCCACGGACCCGAGCGCCTGCGTTGTTCTAGTCGTCGAGCCTCATGTTTCCAGAGCGTATCAGTTGGACCAGTTTCGCCACTTATGTGGCTTCGTTGCAGGACTCGGCGGGGCGAGACTCGTGTGGTTGATAACTGGGCACGCCATCGACGTCGTGGGCCTCGACGCCGCGCGGGCGCAGCTGGAGACATTCGGCATCCAGTTCGTTTATGACGCCGTCGAACACTTGCGAGACGTGGGCGGACACGAACTTATGCGCCTCGCGGACGGTCGCCCGCATGACCGGGAGGTCCGCTTCACTGGACTGCAGGGTTATCGGGAGCTCGGTTTGCAGCGGGGCCTCCATTGGTTTGCAAAGGGAGGCACGCAGGGCATTCCATCCCTGGCGTTGCGGAGCTTGCTCTCAAGAGGACGATAGCAACCGCGATCCGTCCATATTGGTTTAGTGACGCACCGTACGGAGACGAGGTCATGGATCTTGCCAGGACCCGCTGCGGCGCCAGGCGCGGCGAGTCGGGCCCAGGTCGAGCTCGGGAACGACGCCTGCTGCGCGAGATCGGCCGCCTGCAGCGGGCCAGGGCTGGAGGCGAGCCGCTCGACCCACAGCAAATGGGGAAGCTGGCGCGCGGGCCAGGAGTCGTGCAAGCCGCGGTGACAAGGCGAGCACGGAGCACGACGCCGCTGGCGCCAGCCTCGTGGGCCCCTGACGATGACACCGAGGAGGCGCCGAGTTGCACCATGATCTCCCCCCCGACAGCCGCTCGAGACATGGGCTTGCTGATCGGCGAAGGAGGGGGCTCGATCGGCGCGCTTCGACGCCAAACGGGGGCCACAGTGGTGCTCCCAGACGGCGATGAAGCACAGCCGTTCGTGCGTCTGGAGGGCCCTCTTTTCGCAGTCAGGGCAGCGCACGATGGGGTGCTGGCGCTCATGCGCGGGCATGGCACGCCCTCCACAGTCTAGCCGGGCCTGGGGGCAGATGCGCAGGAGGCGCGGCCTATGCGCGAACCCTCTGGCGAGCCACGGCACCACCTCCAAGGGGGCGCTGCGACGGAGAAAGGGGCAGCGCAGCGCAGGACGGTCGCCAGAAGGCCACGGCCCACGTCTGCCGGGCTGGCCGTCGCCTGGGGTTGGACCGTGGGCCTCGCGGCGGGGGCTTGCAATGGTGGCTCGCTTGATTGGGGGTTCGTGCGCGTGCGAGCTGTTCGCGATTCCGTGCTGGAGTATGACGCGTACTTACTGCTCAGGCAAGTCCCGGGATTTGCAAATTACGTGAGCCGCGCCACCACGGAGGATTGCCGTTTCGTTTGGGCGCTTGTCAACCCCGGCGACGTCGACGTGGATTTCTTCGTCGAGTCCGACAATGCGACCCGCCCCCCACCGCCTTCAATCGATGAGAGCGTGGTCAATTGGATTTGCATCAAGGAAGGGGCGAAATTGCGGGCGCCCCCAGCAGCCAAGATCCTGGGAAGCTGGGCTCCAGCAGTGGCCTGGTGTCGCGAGGACAGCGCTGCCCGCGGCCGCAGCCCGGCGGGGACAGACGCCTGGGCGACGCCGCGCGCCATCGAGCAGGCGCGGGGCTTCCTCCGGGAGTGCCCGAGCGGCGGCGCGTGGGCATCTGACATTGGAGGACGCCCCGGCTTGAAATTGGCCGCCATCGCCGATCATTTCGCCACCTCCCCCGGCGACCAGGACACGTGGGTCCAGGTGCTCGAGCATGCCGGCGTCTTCATGGCCGGGGTGCCTGTCTCTCGCGTTCGGCAGGTTCGCAGCGAGCGCGAGCAGTACGGCGATCTGGCGGAGCCGGTGGTTGGGCAAGACGGGCTGCAAGCGCGCGGGGCTGTTCCAGCTTTCTGACCCTGGCGCAGCTGCAAGAGCCATCCACGGCTTTCGGCTGGAGCGCCCTGATTGGGTGATCAAGTGCGCCAAGAGCAGGGGGCCTGAGTGAGCGTGTGTTGCGTGGTGTGCGCGCGTGCGCGCTTGCGCGTTACTGGTAATTTTCGGCGCCGCGTGGTTGCCCGCGCGCTCGTGCAGAGCGGTAGGACGAGCCCCTGTCTTGTCGACCTTCTTCGGTGCGGAGTGCGAGGCGCGCGCGTTCGTGCAGCGCAGCTGGGCGAGCATTTACCCCGCCGATTTCTTCCTCCTCTCCCTCCTCCTGCTGCTCCTCCTCGCCACCTCCTGGGCGCCCTCCTCTCTCGCTCGTGGCCGGGAGGCGGCGCTTTCGAGCCGGCCTCTTACAACGCCATGCCTCGTTTCAGAAGGCGGCGAAGAATTGTTCTGGCAGGCGCGGCAATGTGGTGCGAATGGAATCCTGCGTTGTCCTGACCGGCTTGGTGTAGCCAGCCAGCCAGAAACGCTCGGTGGTCGCGCCATTTCGAGGAGTGCGCCCCTTGCACGTCCTGCTTATAGAGGGCTCCGCCCCTTGCGCGTCCTGCATATAGTGGGCTTCGCCCTCCTGTGGCACGTCCGGTTCTGGCGTTTTGCCGTCGGCGTCTCTGCCGCTGGCGCTTGCAGAGTGCCGCTGGCGCAGATGCGACTGGCAATTCGCCCTCGTTCCGCCGTGCTGCTGCATGGGCCCCGCGCAGGGATGCGGGCATGGGCCCAGCACTTTGCGCGTGCGGGCTGAGGACACGCGGAGTGATCTGAGCGCTGCGCGTTCAAAAAACTACGACATGGC